GAAGAAGAAAAGTACAACCCTTCATAATTAGAAGACCAAAACAATGCTAAACTAATTTCAGTTAAGAATACAGTAGAATAATGAGCGGTCAGTATGAATTAAGATTAAGTAAAGTACTGAAAGCAGATTGCAAAACAGCTCCAACCTGCTTCATCTCAATACCGATCCCAGTAAACCGTTACGACTTATGAGCTGGACAAAATAACCAGCCTGCAAATACGAAGCCTCAGTTTCTAACAAAATTAGTGCCACATACACACTATTGGCACACTGGAAAGAAAAGAAACATAGACTTGGTTTTTGTTTTGTTTTTTCCTTTAGAATTTAAAGGTGGATCGCTTACCAAAGAGCGCAGCCCTCCGCGTTTGGGTCTAAACACCAGCTCCTCCCGGGTGATAATGTCACAGCTCCCGCTGTCTTAGCCTTTTAGCTCCGTTATGCTGGGCCTTGTTCTGAACTTCCCACTAGTCTGCATCAACTCTTTCCATCCAGACTAAACGCGGAGCAGAGTGTTAGGGGGTTACACAGTGGGTGCGCCTGTTTGACGCGTGAAAGAGGGAAGAAAAGTTATTGGTCAGTGCTCTGAAAGTTGAATGCGGCCATTCAGCAAAACTGGGGCTGTTCTTCCTAACTGCAGAGCGAACCAGGAACGCAAGCTTCCCCCCATCAGGGGATAGACGGAAAAGTTACGAATGTTGCAAATTTTATCATTGATTGATTTTTTTCTCTCTCGCAAACACACCGTGGAAGCTTGCATAGAAAAGGGTTCCGGGCTGTCGGCAGCTTCTTCCTTCTGCTTTTAATTTGCAGACTTGTCGGGGTTTTTTTTAATTCCAGTTAAGGGGAAAAACAGAGAGACAGAAAGCTAGAAAAAATGTGCAAGGCCAGAATTTTCTTTTTATAAAATCAAGCTTGATTTGCAAAAGCCAGATTTTGAGCCCTACACTATGAAGTGTGTCACTGTAGATCCATGAAAATCTTATGCCTACACCTACATGCAATCATAAATCTGTGCAGCTGTAATGCCTTTCATTAGCTGCTTCCCGGTACACACCCACATGTACATATACACAGTGTGGACAGCACAAGCTGACATAACTCAGCTGCTCCTCGTTTTAGTTTGTTTTTCCTGATGAAAGCTTCTCCGGCAACACAACAAACATTCAGTTCAACATTCAGTTGTTCAAAGTATGCAACACATGCTCTGTAAAGTGAGCATTCTCATAGCCGAGTTGAAATTCAGGCAAAGCACAAGTTTAAAAGTTAAGGTACACTCAGAAAACTTCAGCAATTAAAAAAAAACTTGAACTAATTGAATTACATGTACAGTTTCCATGTAAATTTGTTTCAGAAGTACAATGTAAAATGTTACTTTTAATGGAATCTGGTCAAATTAAACGTACTTGATTGGTATACATTCAGTTAACAGCAAACAATAAACAATAAAAATGATTAATAGTGGCGTAATTTGTCCTCATAGGGTTTTAATGGAGTTATTACGTAGTTAGACCAGTTAAATGTAACATATAATGTTTTATTTTTCTGTGTAATACATTAAAGGACCTTAACCCATCATATTTTCCACACTAAGATGAAATGCATTTATGTGTGATGGATGGCTAACTACACACATTCTCTGTTCAATCATCACAACTTTACTTTATGCTTCAAACTTGCTTTACTTGCTCTGGGGAATGGAAGTGGAAGTAAATATGTGCTGCAACAATGTCTGATGTAATTACAGAGGGGGAAACAGGCTGTTTACATACATAAATACAGCCGGCATGTGTGTCTAAATCGAAAATTATAGAGAAAAATAGACACATTTCTGTGTTACAGTCTGTAATCAGTGGTGCCACAATATTCTCTGTGGGTTGAGATGTTGAAACACATTGCACTTATGGCTACGCTCCAATTAGTAAGGTCATCACATTTCTCTATCAGCCGTCCAGCACAAAACATGCTGTCACATCACAATCTGAAACCTCTTTACGAGTCAAATCGTCAAATAACTCTTTCTATCCTATCATTAATAAGATTTAACTGGCAGGGAGTTCATACTACCACTACTGCTTGCTCATCACCGTTTGTTTCATCAGATAATCACACAGTTTCATATTAATCTTAAGCTCAAAGTGAACATGTCGCTTCACTGTGGACCATGCAGTCCTGAGGGGGGAGCTGTCACATCCTACAACAGCTCTGTTTCCACCAAATTATGGAGGCTAACAATCAAACCTTACCGTTACATCATCCAGTGATATTCATACATGGGCACTGTCACACACTCATGTCGTTTCACACAGACTTTTATGGAAACTTATAAGAGCTGTCGTCATTACTGACGCACACTTCTGTTCAGTTTCATGTTTCAATTCCTTATTTTCCAAGAAATTCTTGAAAATGCTGATCATTTACATCACTCATGCTGAAATTTACAAGCACTCATGCTTGTTTTTGTCAGATCGGTGGCCAAAATAGGCTTACCAAAAATTACTGTACAAATTTTTTTAAACATAGGATGGATGAAAAACATTTAGCAGCAGCTCACCTGAACAAAACTCCTGTTTTTTGTTTACATTTAGAATGTTTTCAGAGGTATACGTTACATACTTCACATCAATAAAATGTCAGTATGAAAAATAAGTATGTAGATTTGTCCTGCTTTTATAGCTGGGATCCATAAAATCCTAAAATAGAAGCTTGCCTGATATACTGTATGGTCCTTTTTTGTATGGTGTACATAATAAAATTAGTGATGCTCTGATCCATTAGTGCTCTTCAAGAGCAAGACCTTGTTTTTCTTTTCTTTCTTTTTTTTTTACAATGGCTCACTATCATAGTGAACTGAGACACATGCACATGTCCTCTGTCTATTAGGACATGAACAGGGCATATACAGCCACGTGAAAAAGAAAGTTTTCACAGGACTCTCTGCAGTCCCGTGAAAAACTAAGTACACCTCAGTATCTTGTAGAACCACTTTTAGCAGCAATGACTTGATATAATTGTTTTCTGCGTTTATCGGTCTGGCATATTGTTGTGGAGGAATTTTGCCTCACTCTTCTTTGCAGCACTTAAGCTCCTTGAGGTTTGTGGAATTTTGTTTATGCAAAATTATCTTAAGATACCACCACAGCGTTTCAGTGGGGTTGATGTCTGCACCTTGACTGGGCCACTTTGGCACTTTGAATCTTGTCTTTTTCAGCCATTCTGTTGTAGATTTGCTGGTGTACATGGGATCAATGTCCTGCTGATTGACCCAGTTTCAGCCAAACTTTAGCTGTCAGACTGATGGCCTCCACTTGTCAGTCCAAAGGTAATCACAGGTCTTCCAGAAGTCTTGTGGTTTGTTTAGATGCAACGTTGGTAACCTAAGCTGACATGTTGTTTTTAGAGAGAAGATGCTTTCTACCTGTCATGCGAACTGAGGACTGTAGGATCTGAGATGTGAGCACTGCATGGTCTGACCTTGACACGTGACACCTTTGCACACAACTGGATGCTCCGAACCAGCAAACTGTTACAGTTTTAGTAGAAGTGCTCACACTTTCTGATGATCTTTTAATGTGGTTTATTTGATCACCAGCACCTGGCTGCTGCGTTACGTCTGAATTTCAATGGGGTCAGTAAGGGTGTACTTCATATTTTCTGAAAAGAGTCATGTGAAAACGTTCTTTTTCACATGATGTTTTCAAAAAGCTACAGAAAGCACCTGCAGTGAATGAGGCTGTAGCAGTGAAGTGAATATGCAAATTTTTTCTAGTAGTTTATTAAAAATGGGAATACTTTGCACTGGGGCAGAACTAGAAAAGTTCTGGGTGAAGGGGGGTGGGTGTTCAAAGGCAGTTGCCCTCCCTTACCCGGCTGTAGATCCACCCCTGCATAAGCATGTAAGTTTCATGTTGTTTTATAGTGCTTGAGTAGATTTCAGGTGGAAATATTACATTAATTATTGCCTCAAATGCATTTACAAACCATTTACTGTTTTATAACATCTTATATTACAGTCCCTGGTTAGTTAATTGTTACCCTAGTTATACACTAATTAGGATTAATAAAGTGTTACGCATGGGTTTATAGAGTGTTAAAGTATAACATACAAACAACTAAATTACACCTATATTGTCCACATTAAACATTTACTGAGATTCATTTGT